AGAGTTTGTGTGTGTGTGTGTGTGTTGAGAATGGCAGCGGAGTCGAGCAACTTCACACAACCATGCATTCCCAAGTTTGATGGGGACTATGATCATTGGAGCCTGATCATGGAGAATCTCATTCGATCAAAGGAGTATTGGAGTGTGGTTCAAACCGGATACAAGGAGCCAGGAGAAGAAGAAGTGTTACGGCTGCACAGCAGAAAGCTCTAGATGACGCCAAGCTGAAAGATTTAAAGGCGAAAAACTATCTTTTCCAATCCATTGACAAGTTTATCCTGAAGACAATCGCACGGAAGGAGACGACGAAGCAATTATGGAAATCGATGAAAGTCATGTATCAGGGTAATGCTAGGGTTCAACGAGCACAACTTCAAAGTCTTTGGAGAAGTTTCGAGATTCTGGAGATGAAGATAGGAGAGTCAATTACTGACTATTTTGGGAGAGTGATGATAGTCGCCAACTATATGAGGAATTATGGCAAAGACATGTCTGATGTCAAAATCGTGGAGAAAGTTTTACGTACACTCATGGAAAACTTTAACTACGTAGTGTGCTCGATTGAGGAGTCAAAAGATATCGACTAACTCACAGTCGATGAATTGTAGAGTTCTTTGCTTGTTCATGAGCAGAAAGTTTGATGAATAGGAGATGATGAACAAGTGCTCAAAGTTGAATATGAGAACTTGGGTGCACATGGAAGAGGAAGAGGGGCTACGAGGGGCAACAGAAGCATTCGAGGAAGAGGGAGAGGTAGAATCCTCAACAAGGCAACCATAGAGTGTTTTAAATGTCATAAACTAGGACACTTCCAATATGAGTGTCCTAGGTGGGAGAAGTCAGCAAATTATGTGGAGATTGATGATAAGAAAGCGTTTTTGTTGATGGCTCACGTTAAACTCAATGGTGCAATAAGAGAAGGTGTGTGGTTTCTTGGACACTTCCAATATGAGTGTCCTAGGTGGGAGAAGTCAGCAAATTATGTGGAGATTGATGATAAGAAAGCGTTTTTGTTGATGGCTCACATTGAACTCAATGGTGCAACAAGAGAAGGTGTGTGGTTTCTTGACTCGGGATGATCCAATCATATGATAGGAAATAAGGAGTGGTTCATGGACTTTGATGAAAGTTTTAGGCACATAGTGAAGTTGGGAAATAGCTCAAGAATGCCGATGATGTGGAGAGGCAACGTCAGACTTGAGGTCAAAGGTATGACTCAAATAATAACTGATGTGTTCTTCATTCCTGATCTTACCAACAATTTACTAAGCATTGGTCAGTTGCAAGAGAAGGGCTTGACTATTCTAATTGGTGAAGGTGTTTATAAAGTCTATCATCCACGAAGGGGTCTTATTGTGCACATGTAGATGACCACTAATTGAATGTTTGTTTCGCTCGCTTACATGAAGCCATGCTCCTCAAGGTGTTTACAAGTAGAAGAAGATGATGCTATCAGCCTATGGCACAGGAGATATGGTTATTTGAACAACAAGAGTCTTCGTACCAGGCAATATAAACAACTTGTGAAGGGTTTGCCGTAGTTCAAAGCAGTAAACAAGGTGTGTCGTGTGTGCAATATGGGAAAACATCACTGTTAAGCTATACCAAAAAGAAGTCATTGGAGAGCATCAGAAAGGTTGCAACTGATTCATGCAGACTTGTGTGGTCCTATCATACCTATGTCGGACAGCAAGAAGAGGTACCTTTTGGTTTTTGTTGATTACTTTAGTCAAAAAGTATGGATATATTTCTTAATTGAAAAGAGTGAGACTTTCGCTATGTTTAAGAATTTCAAGCATTTAGTTGAGAAAAAGACAGGGAAGAGTATATGTTGCTTATGAACTGACAGGGGAGGCGAGTTTACGTCTCACGAGTTCAACACTTTCTATGAAGAACATGACATCAAAAGGCAACTGATGACTTCCTACATTCTGCAACAAAATAGAGTAGCTGAGCGCCGGAACCGCACTATCATGAACATGGTCCGGTGTTTATTGATATAGAAGGAGATGCCAAAGGCCTTCTGGCCAGAGGTAGCTAGATGGACACCTCATCTGTTGAATAGAAGTCTAACAGTGGCTGTGAAGGATAAGGTTCCTGAAGAATGTTGGAGCGACATCAAACCGAGTGTGGAGCACTTTAGATTGTTCGGGTGCATTGGCCATGTGCATATTCCTGAGAAGAAGAAACTAAAACTTGATGATAGAAGCCACAAATGCGTACTTCTCGGTGTAAGTGATGAATCAAAAGCTTATCGGCTTTATGATCCGATTACAAAGAAAATGATCATAAGCCGAGACGTGATTTTTAAAGAGAATGAGTAGTGGAATTAGGGAATGAGCTCAGAGGAAGCCAAGCTTGATGTTATAGACTGGGGTGAGAATGATTCGATTATAAAGAAGAAGAGACTGAAACTTGATGATAGAAGCCACAAATGCGTACTTCTCGGTGTAAGTGATGAATCAAAAGCTTGTCGGCTTTATGATCTGATTACAAAGAAAGTGATCATAAGCCGAGACGTGATTTTTGAAGAGAATGAGCAGTGGAATTGGGGAATAAGCTCAGAGGAAGCCAAGTTTGATGTTCTAGACTAGGGAGATGGAGACGATGATGCAGTGCATGAAAATGAAACAAATAAGGTAGAGGAGAGTCCAGTGGAGACAAGTACCGAGCCTAAAAACTCACCGGAACAAAGTGTATCAAGCTCACCAGAAGAGAGAGTTCGGCGAGCACCAGCATGGTTACAAGACTACATGAGTGGAGAAGGGTTATCAGAGGAAGAAGGTGATCAGAAATTGGCGTTATTCATGTCACATGAAGAACCCACCAACCACGAGGAGGCTGCTAAAGAAGAAAAATGGACGGATGCAATTAGGGGTGTGCAAACGGTCGGTTTGGTTTGGTTTTTATCAAATTTTGAACAACTGAACCGAACCGCCCATTATTCAAAATCGAACCGAACTGTTGTAAGTCGGTTTGGTGTGGTTCAGTTCGGTTTGTTCGCTTCCAACTTCATCAAACTTTCAATAAAAACTAATATAATATATGTTATAGCAAAGAATTTGGCAGCAAAAGTCCCCCTCCCTTTTTTGGAATGCAACACACTGTGCTCCTCGACCACTATTATCTTGACGCACTCAACATGAAATTTTAGAACATAACTTAAAAAATTAACTTACCTAAATTAAACAAAAATTAAAAGAAAAAAATAAAGAAACCTGCTGACCTCGAGGAGAAAACGATGATGTTCTTGGTCCTTCTCCTCGAAGAGTGAGCTCTCCTATTCAACCTCGCATGAACAGCGTCCTCCTCCTTCGACAAGTACTGCAGCTTCTTCTCATAGTCGTCGCTCCTTGATTTGAAGATCCCCTTCCATAACCAACCAAAGAATCCACTCTTCTTCTTCTTCTTTGACGATGGCAATGATGATGACGACGATGACAACGGTGAAGGTGCATCCGTCTCCCCCTTCTTCGGTCCTCCCGCCATCGAGAGGGAGAAATTTTAGAGTTGAGGATTGAGTTGATTGAGAAGAAAGAGGAACCTTTTGAAACGTTTTGATCTGAAGGATTCTTTGCTTTGCTTCAACGTCGTCATTGACGCCGTTGCCCGTTGGCTAAAGAAGGGGGATTGGGGTGAGTTAGGGTTAGGGATCTGATGGTCAGAGGTGAGGGGCTGGCGAGCGAGAGGTTGGGGATTGGGGAGGAATATGATGGTCATGGACCCATGGTGCAGCACGCGCGGGGACCGGATCGCAGAGAGAGAGAGAGAGAGAGAGAGAGAGAGAGAGAGAGAGAGAGCAACGGGAGAGTTAGGGTTAGGGATTTTATAGATAGGCAGTCAGGTAACGGGTATGGGTATGGGTTAGTGGTAACGAATGAGAAATGGAGAGAGAGATCGGTTAGCAGTCGAGTTGGTTTAATCGGTCTAAACTCGTCAGAACCCGACCAGAAAACGAGGCTTGTTAAGAACCATACCGAACTGCCCAAAGTTGGGTAGTTAGGTCGGTTTGTTCGGTGTGAGTCGAACAATGCTCACCCCTAGATGCAATGAAGCTTGAAATAGAGGCCATCGAGAGAAATAAGACCTGAGAGCTTGTACGTCTGCCTATGGGAGCTAAAAAGATTGGAATGAAGTGGGTCTTCAAGATCAAGTTAAACGAAAATGGTGATGTTGACAAGTACAATGCCAGATTAGTTGCAAAAGGCTATGCACAGAAGCAAGGTGTTGACTACAATGAAATATTCGCTCCAGTTGCTTGTTGGGACACAATAAGAATGTTGTTAGCTATGGCTGCTCAAAGAGGTTGGTTGGTGTACCAGCTTGACGTAAAAAGTGTCTTTCTGAATGAAGAATTGAAAGAAGTGGTATACGTTGAGCAACCAGAGGGGTACATCAAAGAAGGGGAGGAAGACAAAGTGTATAGACTCAACAAGGCACTATATGGACTAAAACAAGCCCTAGGGCCTGCTTTAGTCGAATTGAAAGTTACTTTCTTAGAGAAGGATTCGAGAGAAGCAGTCATGATCATACATTATTTGTCAAAAAAAGTAGAAGGTGAAAAGCTGCTGATGTTGAGCCTCTATGTTGATGATTTGATATATGCAAGCAATGATGTTGGTGCGTGTGTGAAAAGTTCAGGAACTCAATGAAACTAGAGTTCGAGATGATCGATCTTGGGAAGATGAGATAGTTCTTGGGTGTGGAGGTACAGCAGAGTTCTAAGGGAATTCATCTGTGCCAAAAGAAGTACACAAGAGAAGTTCTGGAGAGGTTCAAAACGTGGAATTACAATCCCGTGAAGAATCCACTAGAACCTGGAACTAAGCTGTCCAAAGAAGTTGGTGGTGTAGATGTAGATGCAACGTTGTATAAGCAGTTAGTGGGAAGTTTGATATATTTGATGACAACAAGGCCGGATATGATGTACGTTGTGTGTCTTATTAGCAGATTTATGGCCAAACCAAAGGAGGAACATTTACAGGCTGCTAAAAAGGGTGCTCAGGTACTTGAAAGGGACACTAGACCAGGGATGGTTTTACAAGAGCGGATCTAGTAGTGAGTTGAAGGCGTACACAGACAGTGACTACGCAGGAGATGTGGACGATAGGAGGAGTACGTCTAGGTATGTTTTTCTGCTGAGTGAAGCTGCTGTATGTTGGAGTTTAAGAAAGCAGACAATAGTTAATTTGTCTTCGACGGAGGCCAAGTACGTGGCAGCAGCAGCTTGCGCATGTCAGTGTATTTGGATGAAGGAAGTTCTTTCCCAAATTGGCTTCTCTCAATGTAAGTGTGTAGAGATCTTGCGTGATAATAGTTCTTCTATTAAGCTTTCAAAGAATCTGGTTATGCATAGGAGAACTAAACATATACACATGAGGTATCATTTCTTGCGTGATCTTACTAATGAGGGAGCTGTGAAGTTAGTTTTTTGTGGAACTGAGAACCGGGTTGCAGACATAATGACAAAAAGCTTGTGAAGTTCAAAACGTTTGTGAAACTTCGTCAACTTCTTGGTGTTCAAGCTTGACTGATTAAATTGGATGCTTGTTAGCATTTCCAGTTTAGGGGAGGAATTTGTTGGAAGCTACAAATTCGGTGTTGGTGGATGCACTAGTTTGTTAGAGTTTGTTGTTTACTCGTTCTTTCAGTTTACTTCGTTTTAGGGCCTGTTTGTTTGCACGGAAGTAATTGTGAAGTAGCTGAAGTAAACGAAGTAGGGGCTACTTCTGCTACTTCCAAGTAAAAAAATGTGTTTGGTTCTCTGAAAAACTTACTTCCAATACTTCCCTAAATGCTTATGTGGCGCCTACGTGTCATCCTTACTTCCAAAATATTTTTCCAATCCTCAATACTCAGAAATAGCTCGGAAGTAGTTGAAATGCATATTAATTATGACATAAATAATTTTTTTATTAATATTTCCTTTATTAGTTACTTCTAATAATTTTTCATTGATAAAATTACTTCCTAATAATATTTTCAAATGTTATCCAAACAAAAAAAGTAAATAAAGAGGAAGAAGTTCTACTTCCATTACTTCTAAAAATATATGAAACAAACAAAAAAAATGCTATTTCCACTACTTCCTACTTCATAACTTTGAAAGTTACTTCTATAACCTACTTCTTAATTCTAATACTTCCATTATCCAAACGGGCCCTTAGTTTCAAGTTAACAATTCCTAGTTTGTAGGATCAAGTTTGTTATTTGAGATCAAGTTTGTTATTTGACTATTTCTCACTTTGTTAGGATCACGATTAGGTTTGTTAATCGGGGTTGAATTAGTCTGTTTTAAAATTCCTTGTAAAAGGATATTTAAGCCTTTTTTTTTCCTTCAATGAAAATGTGTAGTACATTCACCAAC